AATGGCCCACAGGAAAATGGAAGGGATCAGAATAGCTCCTGGCCAGGCCCACAAAGGAGGCTGGAGGCTGAGCCACTCAAGGAAAAGTGACGTGCCTCTTCAATCACTGAAGCAGGACCCTCACCCTTCCCCACGTACCGCAGGTGGAGAAGGGGGAAAAGAGGGGCAGTGACCTCTCCTCCCTACTGGGCACTCAAATTCACATAACCTCTGCCACAGGCCAGAGCAGCCCCCAGCCCCTCCAGGCTGCCCCTCCTACCTCACAGGATCTTCAAGCAGAATCAGAGCGTATCTCTCCCCTGTCTTTGGAGCAGCCCCAGGCCTGAAGAATAAAGGTCAAAGCCCTCGAGTCCCCGCCCTCTTCCATCTAATGCATGCCAGGGCTCCCCCACAGATGCTATTAGCTCCTGCTGGTCTAACTGTGGGCTGCTTCACACTGCTCCCTGCTTGGAATGCCCACTCCCTCTCCATCTGCTTAACTCTGACTCCCAACCATCTCCCAGGAGAGCCTCCCCTGTCTCCCCCAGGCTCCGTGTGGCAGATGGAATGGACATACCCAGCTACCATCCTGGTGTGGACGGCAGCTCTGCCTTCGGCTGAGCCTTAGAGTTCCAGTTTGTAGAATGGGAGGCAGGACTGCTCCGGCCATTAAATATGGAATGGTGTGTGCCTGGCATGAGTGGCACCAACCAAGGCCACTTTTCTCTGTTCCACCCTCCCCATTCTAGACTTGAAGCTCCTTGCAGGCAAGGAGTGTGGCTTTTGATTCAGAGGTCCCAGCAACTAAGACAGCTATCAGCACAAAGCAAGTGCTCCTTACATGTTGAAAGAACCCCCATTTCACAGCCAAGGAAATCCAGCCAGTAGGGGAGATGTGGGGCCCACACCCCTCTCCAGGCCACTTGGCCTCTCAAAGGGGCAAGGTGTCAGGCCCACTTTTATTACTAACCAGGCCAGAGCAGACTAAAAAGGCTGGTTTGGAGCCAGGCCTCGTGTCCTCAACTTGCAGGATCACCAGATCTCAGGCCTCATCCAAACTCACAGGCAAAACCTAACTCTGCCTGTACTGGGGCCTCGGGCCTGCCTTGAGGTCTCTTCTGGGCCCACCTTTCTCTGGACTGCTTCAGCAGAGCCCACAGCTGCCTAACTTCTTTTTGCAAAGAGAAAGTAACTCGGGTCGCCGTGGGGCTGTCCTCACCCACCAAAGGGGCTAACAAACTCTGCCCTTCCACCCCTGGAGACCCCAGCCTTCATCTACCAAGTCACAGGGATCAGTGGGAAACTGGCCTTTCCTTCCCCTTCTCCTGCTCGGCTCCCAGGGTCCACCCAGGAGAGGAGATTCATTGACAGTGCTGTAGTGCACATTGTTCGCCCTGTTGTCTGTGTGTGGAGGTCGGGTGGAGGGGCCCACCATTTTTGCACCACCCGCGAGGGCTCAGGAGCGCTCATCAATCACCCACCGCCCGGGTCGTGTCGGGAGGTGGGGGGGTCCCCCTCTGGGGATGCCTAACACAAGGCTCACAGTCCGCCTTTGTCACTGCTGCCGAGCGTAGCCTGGAAAGGCTGTTACATACAGAGGGGAAGCCTCGACCTCCCCATCGGCTCTTCCTCCCTCCTCCCTCGGCCGCAGGGCAAGGACCCCACCAGTGGTCCTGGGAGGGCGGGGAAGGGGCCGGCCGGTCCCGGCTGAGGCGGCGGCGAGGAGGGGGCGCGGAGGAGCAGCTCCACCTCCTCCGTCTCCCAATCGCGTTACAGGCGGAGCCGCCAGAGTTTCCCTCAGTGCGGAGAAGTGTGGTCCCAACTCTCAGGACCGAAGCTGCCCACCACTCGCCGGGCTGCCCCTTCCCGGCGGCATCAGGACCGAAGCTGCCCACCTTCCCCCCCGGGGCCGCACCGCCACCCCCGGCCCCCCCGCCCGGGCCCCGGGCCCCGCACTCACCACCCGGCCGGGCCCCGCGGGAGGAGCGCGCCGAGGCGGGCGCCGGCCGCTGCGGGCTCGGGATCTGCGCGCGGCGGTCTCGCTGCCCCCCCCCCCCCCCCCCCCCCCCCCGGGGGGGAGCGCGCCGAGGCGGGCGCCGGCCGCTGCGGGCTCGGGATCCGGGCGCGGGGGGCCCCCCGCCCCCCCCCCCCCCCCCCCCCCCGGAGGTGGCTCCGGCGGCGCCGCAGCTGTTACCCGGAGACCGAGGGGCGGAAAAGCGCGCCCGCTGCCCGCCCCTCCCGCCGCGCCGCTGCCACCGCCGGGAACAAAGGAGACAAAGCCGCGTCGGCCGGGCCGGGCTTCGCTCCTTCCCCCCGCGCCCGCCGGGCCGCCCTCCCCCCGCCCGCCGCCCAGGCCAGGCCGGAAGCAGCCGCGAGAGCCGGGCGCGCGGCCCCGAGCCGCCCGGGACCCCGCATTCCAGCCCTACGGGCTCCGCACTTGCCGAGGGCGGGGATTCGACCCCTCCCTGTGGGGGCGCAGGCTGCAAGGCGGCGGTAGCCACGGCAACGCGGGTCGCGGCCAGGCGAGCCGAGGGCGAGGAGCTGAGCCCGGAGCGCGGGCGGCCCGGAGCGCGGGCGGCCCAGCCCCACCCCGCCGGGCCTCACCTGCGCGCGGCGCAGGAACCGGAATCAGGAGCCCTCCTGGGAGGGGCGGGGTGGGGGGGCGTGCTCCGCACCCACAGGTGTGCAGGTACCGCGCCTGGCCGCTTCCGTCGCCCCTGATCGGCCCCGCGGGCTCGCCAGCCACCACCCCCGCTCCAGCGCCGCGAGCTCCCTCTTTCCCTTCTGTGGCCGCCCTCCAACTTTCTTTACCTGAACTTCTCGGCGCCTGGTTTCTCCCCACCACCCCGACTCTCCGGACTCCCTACTCCCTAACAGCCACCCCCTCCTTCCGGCCCCAACCTCTAGCTGTGCGAGAGGAGCACAGGCTTTGGGGTTGGGCCTGGGTTTCTGCCACCACTTAAGCCTAGTAACCTGACCGCCCCCACCCCCACCCCCACGCCCCATACACGCCTATTTGCTCACCGGCAAGTGGAGGGGACACCACACCTAGCCGGCTGTTAAAGTTGAGCGCACGCGGGCTGCAAAGTGCACAAGCAAGGACACATTTACTTCTTTTCCTCCCAGGCCTGTACCTGGACCCACCCTAAGCTGAGAAGCCTTGGGCAAGTCTGGACTCCCTCACTGGCAAAAATACCTGGGCCTTTCTAGGGAGGAATCGCTGGGCAGAGGCCCAGTTGTGCCCTCTGCTGGGCCCTTCACACACAGCCTGGCCTGCCCACTGAGAACTTGGGAGCCAGGACCTGGCCCATCCTGTTAGGACTTTGGCTCAAGACACATAGGGATAGCCTCCTGGGAGACAAAATTTGTCACACATATCACCCTGGAAGCCCCCAGAGCCTCCACAGGCTAGGGAGAGCCTCAACCAGAAGGTCCAGGTCACCCACGCTGGCTACTGTCCAAAGAGCCAACACCACAGGCACTCTTGCCACCTGCCACCCCCTCCCCCTAGTCAAGAGTCTGCCTTCACACTCATCCACCCAACTCTGCCTTCCAATTTCTCTCTCACCAGCTTCTCAGGTCACTCCCTTTCCTCCACCCCCTCTTCTAGCACCTGGGTCCGTGCACCACCATGGCACCCCCTTCCCATTTTCCTTATTCCTGGCCTCTGGCATCAGACCCCAGGCCCTCCACCTCATTTTCTAACCTGCACTCCACCACTCCTCCACACCTATCACCACCTCAGCCCCCTTGGCTTTCCTGCCTGTGCAGCCTGGGGGGGGGGGGTCTCCCACATACCTGGAATCCTCCCCTCCTCAAATCCATTCACTTAAGTGCACACTTTAGGAATTACTTCACCCCAAAGGGGGACATGGGACTTCCAAACCCCACAGCACCCCTCATCTATACACAGATACAGCACCTCCTACCCCATCAGGAGGGTGAATATCCCACAAGCAGAGGTCATTTCATCCCATGCCGTCCTGAGGAACCATGACACAAAACAAGGTCAAGAATGGAGTGACCAAATGACCAAGGGACCAGGTGCTCAGAGGCTCACAAAACCCGTGGGCCACTTGGGCTGTGTTGACAGCCCAAGCCTGACCACAGGCTTCAAGGAGGGAGGGTACCTCATAGGAAACCCTACTGGCTCCACAGGCCCCTGCTGAAAGTGGGCTCCACAGAGGCCCAGGCAAACAAGTCCCAGCCCACAGAAACCCCTCCCCACAGATCTACATACCTCCACACACTGAAAGGAGTGGCTTTTCCAGACCTGCAGGGAGGACAGAGTACCTCCTGGCTGTTCCTGTTTACTCAAGGACACACAAGGCCACCCATGGCCAGTTAGCCCAGGAGGTCAAAGGTTGCTGTTCTCCTCTGAAAAGGGACAGGCCAGGAGTTTCCAGGCAGTCCATCCCTGGGGCCCCCCACTGCACCTCCTACCTCTGGGAGGCCCCTCCCCATCCTTGCCATTTAGTTCACACTGCTGATGGGCTGAGCTCTGCCCCTCCCGGTACAGGATGTCCCTAGGCTGTGTATGGGAGGACACCTAGCTCTAGGGGCACCTGGGGCTGCCCAAAGCTTTCTCTGCACAGGGACCCAGACTGGCTACCAATCTCTGTAATTATGTCCCCAGCAATATTTATCAACCATTCCCCTGATCCCTCTTCCCTGCTCTCTTCTGATCATCCCTCCAGTGTTAGAACCAGAAGGTTCTCCCCATTCTGACAGAGAAAGTAATCCAGAAACAGGGCAGTAACCATGGTCAACAGTGGGTGTACAGGCTAGATTCCACTCAGGCTATCTGACAGGGGAGGGTCAGGGAAGAAGAGGCCAGGCCAGGCAATCCAAAACAAAAACCCAGGCCTCAAGGGTAAGTACATCCAACATGGTCCTGAACTGAGGAGGAGACCAAGAGGAGGTGAGAGAGGAACTAAAGGGAACAATGATTACCGTAATTCCAGGCCCAACCCTCGAATCCCCAATCTGTCTTCAACAAGAAAAACTCCATGCAATGTAAATTACTTTAAATAACACAAACCCAAAGACATTTTAATTGGACATTAGCACACAGTTTTGATAATTAACATAAATGAGCATTTTCTAAAGAGCAAAGTATGCCTGCTGGTGAGCCACACAGACGGCGCTCAGCCTCAGGTTGAGGTTGCGTGCACCCTGAAGGCTCACTTCACTGCTGGGATTCCCTAACTAAATCTATATCCACACCTATCCCCTCAGGGCCTCTGGAGGGGGTTCCAGGGGCTAGCTGGCCCTGAACAGCATGTAGAGCACAGGCAGTACGGCCACCAATGTCACAGAGGTGACCAGCGTGCTACAGATGGTGTTCCTGTTGGCCTGGGCTTCTAGCCTCCGCTCCATGTCCGACAGCGCCAGGATCATGCTCCCCTGCTCCAGCAAGGAGCCAGGCAGAGCCCCATCTGCTGGCTCCACCAGGCCCGGATGCACTGCAGCCTTTGCAAGCTGAACCAACTCAGCCGTTTGGCTGAAAGTCTTTTCCAAGTCATCAAGCCGCTTTCGTAAACCCTCTAGACAGGAACGGACCTGCCTGGAATGGCTGAGCTGCTCTTTCAAGGTGGCTGAAAGGACATCTGCATCTCTGTCTCCGATGGGGGAAGCACCTGCCTGGGCCACAGAGCTCTGCCCAGGCCCAGCTTGTACCAGGCCCCTTAGGTCCACCATGAGGTCGTGGAGGTCCCTCTGCTGGAGGGAGTAGCTGGATGCCTGTTCTCGGATGGCCTCCTGGAGGCTCACAGGCCCCTTCTGTGCCTCTAAGAGCAAGGCCTTCAGCTCCTGTAGCCGCACACGGTTCACATAGGTGGAGCCAGCCACACCAATCAGGGCCCCCAGGACTGACCCAATGAGGGACCAGTTCTTGGTCCTCTCAGCTCGAGTGCGCTCCTTCTCGTGACTTTCCCGCACAGCTGCAGAGAAGAGGGAGAACTTCTCTCGCTCCGAGTCTTCAGCACGCAGATAGGTTCCACGCAGCCTCTTCTCCTCCTGCAGAAGCAAAGCTGTATTACACAGCAGGAATGTGGCTCTGCAGCAGTAGCCACGAGCAGACGCTCCTGGGGCTCAGTCTCAGCCTGGCCCAGACCACATGCTCCGTAAACCCGTTGGGTGAATGAAGGCAGAGTAAGCCTGGTCAGGACAGGGAGCAAAGGAATGGGGGGGGGGGTCAAGATGAGCTGTACTACCTCCTACCCAAGCAGTGCTGGGTCTGATCAGACATGCATAATGACTACAGAATGTGTCCTCTCTGGGCCAGTCCTTCCTCCACGGTGCTCCCTCCTCAGCAATATGGGACCCAGATTATACTGCCTTGGACTTTGAACTCCAGGAGGAAGTGGGTGGAGAGGCTCCGGAAGCCTGGGGCCCAGTGTACCTTCTGGTTTACCTCCCTCACCAGACCTCTGACCACAGACCAGTGAGGGTTCTCACCTTGCCCCTCCCTGACCTGCCCAGACTAGGGTCCCTGTCCAGTGAGGAAAGGCTGCCTCCTAAGGTGCCTACCTGCAGCATCCGGTGCTCCAGCGTAGCCAGTTCTAGGTACTGGTTATCCTCTCTGGAGACACGGTCCAAGCGGTCCCTCACCTCCTTCAGCTTGGCCTGGTGAACTTCCAAGTCCTCCCGAGCCTCTCGGACAAGCCCTCGAGCCACCATGAACACTTTCTCTGCCTGCAGAGAGAATGGTGGAGGCTGTCTGCCCTTCCCTCCACAACCACACAGGCTCAGCTCCATTCCCAACAAGGCTATGGCTGAGGTGAGTGGGGTCTTGGTGCAAAAGGGTGGAAAAGGAGCCCCTCAGACACAAAATCCTGGCTCACCCAGCAGTCCTCAAAGTGCAACCCTGGGCCACACCCATCAGAATCCCCGGATTTATCCATTCAAGTAGAAATAATGTGCCCCTGAGAAACTGGAAAATAGCTAATGCTGTACACAAAACCCAGGCAATTCTAGTCTGATACAAACCACAAAGAGGAACCCAGGTTCCTAAGCTGTTCAGTTACGTTACCTTAGCTACACCTCACAACAATACCATCAGAGGCATTGCTGTGGCCTCCATGTTACAGACCCAGAAATGCCAGCTCAGCCAAGGTCATGACCTCCAAGGGGAGGGACAGCATGGTGCCTCAAAACCTCCTGCCGAACCCCAGGTTCTTGTCACCTCACTAGCCCGGTCTGTGCTAGGCAGGAGCAGGAACAGAGATGACAGAATGCGTTTCTGTTGCCACCAAGGGCTTCACAGCCACAGGCTGAGCTCTTTCCAGCTCAGCGTAGGATGCTGCCCCAGCCCTGCGCCTCTACCTTCACCAGGGCTGTTTTAATTCCACACAGGGCTTTGAGGACGCTGTACCACTCTCACCAACCCCAAAGGGCCCACGTAGGAAGTGTCCACTGGTCTAACACAATGGATGTCAATGGCTGGGGACTGATCGGTACACAGAAACCTGTTTTTTGGGTAGGTGAGCATGGTTACATGGAGATCTTCACCCCAGGACTATCAAACCCAGGTTGTCATGTGAGAAATGAGTCAAATCCCTCTATGAATAGTATTTGTTCAAGGAAAGGCAAATGTGGGCATGGCTGGTGGTGTGTGGCTGGTGACTTATTTGGCAGGAGCCTCCAGGCCACATTTCCTGAGTCAGAAGGCAGGGCCAACCACCCCGACTCCCCTCCTCACCTCAGTCACGTTTCCCTGGGCCTCTCGAACCTCACTAAGTCCGACAAACTCTTCATATCTGTCCCACCATGTCGTGGCCGTGGAGGATGCTCGCTGCCGAATGTTGTGCCCCAGGGCTCTTCCCAGGGCTGTGAGGCGGTGGTACAGCCCCAGGGCCACATCCTCAGGTCCTTTCTTTCTGGGCTGGCTAGGGCCTGGGCTGCAGAGAGTCCTGATCATAAAGAGGTCCCTTCCAAGGAGGCCGCTCCGCACCAACACGCGGGGCACACCCATGACATGCTGCATGGTAAACGTGGTGCGGTGTCCTGTCATCAGGAGATCTGGGGGGGGGGGGGACGCAAGACAGATCAGCTCACAGCTGAGAAAGCCTGGGCAGGAGCCAGGTTTTAGGGCCTAGGGACAGTTCTGAACTAATGTCCATGAAAAAGTCCAAACTGAGCGCTACTCTGTTGTACCCGGAGACAGCAGCCACTGCAGTCAGGCTTCCAAGGGCACTCCCAGACAACTCGGGGAAGAACATACTGAGGAGATCATGCCTTCTACCTCCCTCCGCGAAGCCACCAGACCCTCCCATTCTACCCACCTTCCCCACATCCCCCAGGTCTCTGCTGTGACTCGGATGAGAATCCTGGTGCCCGGTTTTCTGATAATGCCAAAGAAAATTCTCAAACCTGAGTTGTGCCCATGCTGACAAAGCCCCACAAAGGTTCATAAAGACTCCCCGGGAAACTGTGGAACTGAGGGAATTTCAGGGAAAGATTTCTGTAAAAGGCCACCAAAACCAACTGCCTGGACTCCGAGGGCTGCCGCGGCACTGGGGACACAAAGTTTTGCTTATGTTCGAGGACATAGGTCGTTTGCGTCCCAAGGCAGAAAACTCCCCCCTCAGCTGTCCTCTGAGAAGACAATTCCAGGAGAAAAAGGAAACAAAACAAAAAGCCTGGATCTCTTTACAGAGGACAGCTTTTCTTAGGTTCACACAAGCCCTTCTCCTGTGCGCTCCGAGCCCAGACTGTCCAGGCTCCCAGTACCATGTCACAATCCTCACCTTCTGTAAGCTTTCTCCCGACTCTCCAGCCTCAGTCGCGCCCTACAGGTTAGGTTTCTTTAATATTTCCCTTTTCAACCTTGCTTTGATGCTTGGGCCCCAACGACACCCACTTCTTATTACCTAAACAGCACAGGGAGGCTCCCATTACCCAGTCAGGCTTTGCCTGAACCCAAGAGCAGTGAGGACACTGAGGACCCCAAGAGAGGGCCAGGTGACCCATGCTCCCCGCACAGCTGGGCCAGCACTCCCTCCCCTGGCCAGCGCCCCCTCCCCCGCAGGCCCTCAAATACTGACTTTGGCTGTCAGAGTGACACCTGGTGGACAACCAGGCCAGAGAGAAAAGCAGTGGGAGCTGGGGACAGGAAGACAGACTGTAGGAGCTCAGGGGATGAAGAAAGGGGCTTCTGATTCTAACAGAGACCGGCTCAGACCATCCCAGCCTCCTCCCTCTTGTGCTGTGCTCGGAGAAGCTCAGGCCCTCTAGAAACCAAAGTTGCTTGGGTAGGGACATGCCTCCTGCCCAAAGCAGGTCCGAGCTGAGAGCCACAGAAGAGGACATTCCTGTGACACTGGTTCCAAGCTGGTGCTGCCCCTGAACTCCTGGGCCCCATCCCTAAGGCCCAAGAAAGCACACAACATCCATGACAAGGTCATGGGGTCAAGCTAGCCTCCGAGGCCTCGATGCCTGCACCCACTGCACTGAGCTATGACCCCACAACAATCCTGCGGGTGGACCCTGCATCAAAGCAAAGCACACAGACTTGCAGCCCCGCCAAGTATAGCCCTCTCCTCTTCAGCAACATTCACCAGAAAAGCATCCACCTTGGCTATCACTACGTTCTCAGCCCCCATTCTATCCTGATCCCACTCCACCATGACGTTGCTCCTCTGGGGGTCCCGCAAAACTTCCACCTTGCCGGACTCAGCAGGTGCTTCACAGATTTCTTCTCCCAATCTCTGCAGCTTTCAACACCCTGTCTTTTTGAATTCACTACCCCCTCTCAGCTTCCTCCAACCTTCTCAGCTTCCTTTCCCAGCTCCTCCTCTACCAGCCGCCCACTCCTGGAAGCCAGGAGGGTCACCCATCCTGCACCGTCCTGGCTTCCTCCCTGCCGCTCAGAGCCGTTCTTCACAACCTGAGGCTCTATTAACTCATCATTTCACTTCCGTTGGTTCAAACCACCCCCCCACCCCGACAGCTCCCATCTCACTTGCCACGAACACCAGTCCTACCAGTGGCCAACAAGCCCCGGTCCTCTTGACTGTCACCCCCTTCCTCCTCTCTGCCCGTCCTCCGCTACGGATACCCAAACACACGAAACCCAACCCTGCTGCTTCCTCCGCAGCTCCAGTTGGCTCACCCTGATGTCTACGTCTTGGCTCAGATATCACCTCATGGCAAGGCCTTCCTTGACCATTCCCTCCTGGGCCACCTGCTTTATTTGTCTCCATCAGACACATATTTGCCTTCTTTACATGTTGCCAGGCCCCTCACTAGAACATAAGCTTGGTGACAGCAGAGACTTTGTTGTGAGGAAATGACTCAAGTTGTTCCTCTATTCCAGTCCCTCCTCTCGCCCACCCAGCCCCAACTCCGGCCTGACTCTGAGCCCCTTCCCATTCAAACATCTCACAGGCCCTCAGTCAGCACAGGGAAGGTGTTCCTGGCAGAGGGGGCAAAGTGGAGATGCACTTGGGGTCATCTAAAACCTGACAGGCAGCCGGTGCCGCTGGAAAACAGCAGAGGAAAGGAGAGTGGGCAGAGGAGAGGCTGAAGAGGTAAACAGAGGCCACATTAAGGAGGGTCTTGAGGGCCACGTTCAGAACCTTGCCCCTCCAAATCCATTCTCCCATTCTATCCAGATGACCATCTCCTACCAACTGCCCATCCCACGAACCTCCATCAACTGTACCTCTTCCTCACTCATAGCCGATGGCTTGCTTCATTTTTCACTCAGAAAATATTTTAAAAAATTGGAAGACAACTTCTCTAAACTCCTACCATACCTTCCCACCTGCCAGTGTCTGTCCAGTTTCCACCTTCTCTCTTGCTCTTCCAGATGAAGAATTCATGCTCTAGGAAGATCAAGCTGTGCCCCAGGTCCCATGAGCTCTCCCCACCTGACACTGCTCACTAACTGATCAGACATCCCTCCAGCAACAGCCCCACTTCTCTGCCCCTCTGTACAGCCAAACTCCTTGACAGATTGTCAGTACTCGCTGTCTCCAGTTCCTCTTCTCCCATCCTCTCTCAAACCCTCTCTGATCCGGCCCTCGCAACCATCATGCCACCGGAAATGCTCTGGTCCAGGTCATTTCCACGTTGCTAAATCCAGTGATCACGGGCGCCTGGGTGGCTCAGTTGGTTAAGCGACTGCCTTCAGCTCAGGTCATGATCCTGGAGTCCCGGGATCGAGTCCCGCATCGGGGCTCCCTGCTCAGCAGGGAGTCTGCTTTGCCCTCTGACCCTCCCCCCTCTCATGTGCTCTCTCTCTCTCTCATTCTCTCTCTTAAATAAATAAATAAAATCTTTAAAAAAATAAAATAAATCCAGTGATCAGATCTCAGTCCTCCTGTTACTCAGCCTATCAGCAGCCTGGGGCTCATGCTGCCTTCCTCCTCCTTGAAACGCCTTCTATGCTTGACCCCACTCATCTCCTGACCCTCTCCACAGCGAGTGCTGCAGGGCAAGGTCCTTGGACTCCACTCTCATTCAGTCTTGTGGCTTTAAAAGCCATCTACTGGAATATTATACAGTTAATTATAGTGATGGTTGAACAACACTGAGAATATACTAAGACCACTGAATTGTACACATTAAATAAGTGAATTGTATGATATATAAATTGTATCTCAATAAAACTATTACCTTTTTAAAAAGTAATCTCTACACCCAACCTGGGGCTCAAACTCACGACCCTGAGACCAAGAGTCACACATTCCATTGACTGAGCCAGCCAAGTGCCACTACCCTCCACACCCCCCAAAACCATTACTTTAAAAAACTATCAACTAGGGCCCCTGGGTGGCTCAGTTGGTTAAGCGACTGCCTTCGGCTCAGGTCATGATCCTGGAGTCCCGGGATCAAGTCCCACATCGGGCTCCCTGCTGAGCGGGGAGTCTGCTTCTCCCTCTGGCCCTCCCCCCCACCACGTGCTTTCTCTCTCTCTCATTCTCTCTCTCTCAAATAAATAAAATCTTTAAAAAATAAAATAAAAATTAAAAAAAAAAACTATCAACTATACTCTGATTTTTCCAGCCCAGACCTCTCCTGTAGATTCCAGGCTCATCTACCCAACTGCTCAATCCACATCTCTGCTTAGAAGATTAATGGGGATCTTAACTTCCCTTCCCAACTTGCCTTTTCCACAGCCTTCTCCATCTTGGTGATGGAAATTTCAAGTCCAAATCAGACCAAAAACCTCAAATCACCCGACATCCTTCTCTCCCATCTCATATCCAATCCATCAGCAAATGCTACTTCCTTTCTAAAGCCAAAATCCCTCCTCCTCTTATCCCTGCCACTGCCACGACCTTGTCCCAATGACTAACAATGTCCCCCCGCTTCTCCTCTAGCCCCTACAGTCTCTGGTCAACAGAGCAGCCAGTGGTCCTTTCAAAACACAGGCCAACCATGTCACTCCCTGCTCAAACTCTCCAGTGGTTCCTCATTTCTCTCAATGTAAAAGCCAAAATTCTTTCCATGGTCTATAGGACATCCACCTCCTGGCTCTCATCCTTCTCACTCTGCTCCAATCATATAGACCTTATTCCCGCCCCCCCCAGCTTTATTGATGTATAAATGATACATATCACTGTGTACGTTTAAGATACACACGTGATAATTTGATACACTTGATAGAGGTATATATTCGCTAAACGTGTACCACAATAAGGTTAGCTAACACATCGTTCAGGTAATTACCATGCATGCACTTTCTTGATGTTGCTGGAACACACTAGGCTATCCCCACACCAGCGGCTTCCTATCTGCACTGCTTGCTCCCTTCTCTTTTCCAAGTCCTGCTCAAATGTCATTGCCATGCCCTCTCATCCCAGCACTCTACCCACTTTGCTTTATTTTTCTCCACGCACTTATCACATGACCTGCGATATGTATTTCACTTATTTACTTTGCTTATGGGCTGTCTCACCCACTAGAATGTCAGCTCTGCCAGGGTAGGCATTGTTTTGTTCACTGCTGCATCCTCAGTGCCTATAATACCAACTACATATACTACATACTCAACAAAAATGTATTAAATGAATAAACAGAATTTGCAAAAAGTCATACCCCGGCTCTATTATAAAATCCAAACTCCTTCGGTGGCCTCCAAAACTTTAGGACCAGGTGATCTAGCCCCCGTCCATATTTCTGTCACCTCCCTCCTATCTCCCTCCACCCATGCGTGCTTTCCTTGGTTCCAGGAATGCGCTGAACTTCAAGGCCTCGGCACGCGCCCTTCGCTCTACCCTCAGTGCTTTTCCCATGCACGGTCCCAGGCCTAGCGCCTTCCGGTTAAACACCCCTCCTGGTTTCCGGACCCTCCCCCGGCAAGCCAACCCCCACCTCGTACCTGACGCCCCAATGCGGGAACTGCAACCCAAACAGAGAGCCCGCCACTCAGTAGATCTCTGACCCTTTAACGCCCGCCCCCAGAGTTGCTTCCGGCAGCGGGAGCGCAACTTCCTGACTAGGAGCCAATCAGAGGGACCGCGTGGAAATATAGGCGCAGGGGGTGGGAAAGGGAGCTCCGCTTCCGGCGGCAGGGTCTGGGGAAGGGGCGGCAGGCGCCATGTCCGGCCGCGAAGGTGAGTGTGCGGGGGTGGCCGGGCGGAGAGGGACAGGACTCCGCGGGGACTGAACTGAGCATGATTGTGTCGCCCACAGGTGGCAAGAAGAAGCCCCTGAAGCAGCCCAAGAAGCAGGCCAAGGAGATGGACGAGGTGAGGGCGAGCGCGGAGGCGCGGGCGGGTGCGGAGGGTCTGGGAAATTTGCCTGGCGTGAACCCCGTCTGCCTCTCCCTAGGAAGATAAGGCATTCAAGCAGAAGCAGAAAGAGGAGCAGAAGAAACTCGAGGAGCTAAAAGCGAAGGCCGCGGGGAAGGGCCCCCTGGGTAAGTGAAGGCCGAGTAGAGAGAGCTCAAGCCGGGCAAACATTCTGAGCATCAGTCTGGTCCATTTCCTGCCTCGTTGGTGAGGTCCTCGCGTTCGCTACGGCGGACGGCCCCCGCCAGGCTTGGTTTCGCAGCAGCGGGAAGGGGAGGGAGCCAGACCGGCTTTGGAAATGAAATCTCTTTTCTCCCAGGCAGTCTGGTCTTCCCTTCTTTAGGGAAGCGGCAGAAATGGAAACACCAAAATTCATATATTCTAGACACAAATTCGTAGAGTTGAGTTTCCAGATATTGTCCGCTATTTCTTGCCCCAAATTCGTATTTCACCAATTTTTTGCTTATAACATTTCTTAACCGCTCATATTGTTAATTCCAGTAAATTCTTTTGCATCCTGAGTCTTCACTTCTGGGTGCGCCTAAAGATAGAGTCCAGGTTCTTTAATGTGTTATTGCGCTATATGGTCTTTTAACCTAATCCCCCCACTATTCTGCCTCTTTTTTTAGAGAGAATTTTTTTTTTAAGATTTTATTTATTTATTTGACAGAGAGACAGCAAGAGAGGGAACACAAGCAGGGAGAGTGGGGGAGGGAGAAGCAGGCTTCTGCTGAGCAGGGAGCCCGATGTGGGACTCAATCCCAGGACCCTGGGACCATGACCTGAGCTGAAGGCAGATGCTTAATGACTGAGCCACCCAGGCGCCCCGCTATTCTGCCTCTTTATGTGGAAAGCATTGCTTACGTATCAAAAGATCTTTCAAGCCCAACAGCCGAAATATTTTTCTGTGCTCCTTAAATGCTGTTTACGTTCCTCAAACCAGTGAACAATTTCTTCTATAGTTATTTGTGACCTATGGGATCACTGTGAGCCACACTGGGGCTGGTGGAGGCTAGAATGGTGGGAGTGTCATCCAGGGCTTCCCAAGGCTTCTGTCCCAGTGGGTTTGATTTGATTCACAGTGCTGAGATTCTAGTTATTGAGATTCCCTTTTGGATCATGAGGTATTTTGTACCTTTCTTTAATCTGTGATTGTGCATAGGGACAAGGTCAGTCTTTAGTGAAATCTTACACTACTTATTTTTCATTGAAGACCGCATTTTTTAAAGGTTCATTTTGTCAGACATTTAGGATCTTCATTACTGCATTGGGCACATTTAATTTTGTAACTGTTTCTTAAGTATCTACTGTGTGCCAAATATATGGTCAAATGTAAATTGAATAAAGATATTGAGTAAACCACACCCCAGGATCATAATGTAGTAGCAATGCGTGATGTGGCAGTTGAGAGTATGGACTTGGACATCAGACTACCCAAGGTGGAATCTTGGCTTTGTCGCAGACCATCTTACATCTTTGAACAACACCTCACTAAGATTTCATTATCTGGAAAATGAGTTGATGGGAGATGAGGATTAAACAAACCAGCGTGTGAAGTACTCAACAGTGTAGATCTAGGCCAGTGCACAGCCGTTTTTCATGCTCCTGCCTCATCTTCATTCAAATATTACCCAGCTTAGCTTTGTGCAGTGGCAGTATCGTAGCCAATGAGGTTTATCCGAGGCGCGATTATTGCTAATTCAAATACTATCCAGCTTAGATTGTTGGTAAAGCCCTGTGCATGCTTGTATCAAAAAAGAATGCCCCGCACAAGAGCTGAGCCTTTTTAGGATCCATATCAGGCCCCTGGCACTTCAACCGTAAGGAATATATTTTTCCCATCCAAGTACTAATTTTCCTTAGCTGAGACATTTTTTTTTTCCTTTTGCAGCCACAGGTGGAATTAAGAAATC